AATATTTTGTCAATATATATAAAAATATATTGACAATAGAAAGAAGGGCCTTTTTTTATTTCTGCTATAATGCCTCCAATGTAACCTTTTTTTAAAAACGGATTGTCTTTATCCACCTGAACCTGCATGTGCAAAGAATCTTATCTGGTATCCAAAGTCTCACTTTAAGGAGATGTATATGATGACCCCCATCCCCCTCCCTCAAATAGTACCTGAGTTAATATATAAAATAATTTTGTTAATAAACATGATCTTCAGCTTTGACCTTGACCTTTGACCAAGTATGCCCAAAATCTGTAGGTGTCTTCCTTTGGCCATTTCCTGAAAGCTAGTATATGCATTTATAAGTATGAGAAGAAGTAGTCAAGTTATTGTGTCCATAAACATATTGTTGCAGATACACAATATTAAAATGACAAGACAGACAAACACAGTGATTCCTATGGCAATTGCATCTGCATCAGAGATTGGGGGGGAGGGGGGGGGGGTCCTGATTCCTGTTGATTACATTTAAGTATTGGTGATCTAACAGCATGCAATTAATTACTGGAAAACTTGCTCATAGGGAAGTTTTTCTGGATCTTGTTACAATTTAAGCCCCTTGGTATATTATGTCACGACATTAAGTAAATCAAACGTCAACAGCCCATAACAAATACATTGTAAAAGTTGTGGTTGCAATACTTTTAAATAATCATGAGCATTGATGCTCTCTGATTGGTTGAGACAATCTCTCCCAGGGTGTACTCTACAGTAAAATCATCCCCCATTTAAAGTTATATTGACCAGCGGTGAATGGGGCAACATTCCTTAGAGAGCATTCACCCCAATTTTAACTAAAATTTCAACTTTTGCAAACTTATTCTCTAAATGATGAAAAAGAATGCCAAAACAAGTAACTAGATCATTCAAGTAATTAAAACAGCATGTCAGTTTTAAAGTCACTCAATATAAAAATAACTAGTATTAATTGTAACGGGGACCGTTACAGATGTTCCCCAAACGCTCCCCAACACCCTCTTGGTGTCTTATTTCCTGTAAGCTTCATTAAATAAGGCAATGAAGTATATTGATCGTTTTTTGCATTTCACGCGCGCGCACGTGCATGCATGTGCAGGATGACCATGTCATCTCATCTATACTATTAATGCATCTTTATATTCTCAGTATCAAAACATTTCGTCAAAAAATAAATAAGTTCCGGCTATATCAAGTATATTGGTCATCTTAGCATTGCATGCATGCGCACCTGCATGCATGTTCCTAATGACCATGCCATTTTGTCTACACTTATAATTTGTCTGTTTATTCTTAGTATCAAAGCTTTTCATAAAAAAATATAAAAGTTATGGCTATATTAAGTATATTGGTCATTTAACACATTGCACGCGCGCGCATGTGCATTCATGAGCATGATGTCCACATCATCTTGTCTACACTTTTAATATATCTGTATATTCTTAATATAAAAACTTTTCATAAAAAAATATAAAAATTACGGCTATATTAAGTATATTGGTCATTTAACACATTGCACGCGCGCGCACGTGCATGCATATGCATGCATGCATGTGCATGATGACCATGTCATCTTGTCTACACTTTTAATATATATAAATATTTTGAGTATCAAAGCATTTCATCAAAAAGTATAAAAGTTACGAATATATCAAGTATATTTGTCATTTTACGCTTTGCGCGTGCGCACACGTGCATGCATGTGCATGTTGACCATGTCATCTTGTTTACACTTTTAATATATCCTTATATTTTGAGTATCAAAGCATTTCATCTAAATATATAAAAGTTACAGCTATATCAAGTATATTAGTCATTTTACGCATTGCACGCGCACGCACGTGCATGCACGTGCGCGCAAAATGACCTTGATTTCGCAAATCTACATAACATGCCTATTAACCCTAAAAAGGTTTCACCTCAATCGGATGAGTAGTTGACGAGATCACTCGCGGACAAAAAAGTACCCAGGAAGAAGAAGAAGAAGAAAAATAATAATAATAATAAGAAACAGAGTAAAAACAATATGTTCCCCAACTTCGTTTGGGGAACATAACTACTTCAAATATATAATGTCTTTGAAAGGCTTTGCCAAAAATCAGAGAAGCCACCTTAAACTTCAATGTAATTAAGGAAATATAGGTTAATAGAAGGACAATTATCCCTATCGCATTTCATAGATCGAGTAATTTGTTTATTGTTTAACAATAAAAATCATTGCTCTAGCTGTTGAATTTAATTTTTTGAAGAAAGAAAACAAAACTATACTGTGAAAACAGTAAAAATATTGTCATTATAAATATTAATCATGTTAATTTTCAGCAGTTTTCAGTCTACTTATGAGTCATGACTATATATATATATATATATATATATATATATATATATATATATATATATATATATATATATATATATATACAGATGATTGACCTATAGGCAAAAGGCTGAATACCCAGGGCTGTTTATATTGTCACCAGTGAGACCAAAAGTCAATAATTTTATAATGTTGGCAATAAAATAATATGATGATACATATCATCTCTGATGGAGGTGATTGTGTATAGTGATTCTTTCCTTTTTCTACAATTACTGTGCCTAGGTCCTCTGGAGAATCATTCACATTCACCTGTGGTGGTCAGACGGGTTTGATCGCCGGTGGCCAGATAGCTGAGTTGGTAGAGCACCTGACTTGAGATTCAGGGGGCCTGGGTTCGAATCCCGGTCTGGTCCGCTGCATTTTTCTCCTCTCCCGTTACATTTGGTGCCGTGCCATGCCCTAGCTGGAAGTGACAGGTGAAATACCTGCCAGGGAGGAGCCTGGGTTGGTGTCTTCGGGGGCCAAAGACCTTTAAGGAGGGAGGAATGTGGAGGTCAGACGGGTTCATTCGCCGGTGGCCAGATAGCTCAGTTGGTAGAGCACCTGACTGGAGATTCAGGAGTCCCGGGTTGGAACCCCGGTCTGGTCTGTCACATCTTTCTCCTCTCCTGTTACACACCAACACCACCACTCAAGGTGGCCTAATGGTAGGGTGCTCGCTTCATGATCTGGAGGTATTGGCTTCAATTCTCTTTCCTAAAACCGTGTAAAACCCAAGATGCTTAACATTTAGAGTGACTGTTTCTTCACCAAGTGCCGGCATAAAAAGTGAAAGTCAAAGCTCTTTTGGATGAAACCTTAAAAACCAAGGTCCCAAGTCATGGTAGGAGTTTACGGGACACAATAAAGAACCCTTACTGCTCAATAGCCCCGAGTGCTGATCATGAGTAAAGATCTAAATTTGAAGCCCTTCACCAGTATACAGTATGGAGATATCTCATACATGTCATATGAGTGAAAAATTCTCACAAGGGACATATATTAAAATAACATTCAATCAATCAATACACCACCAATTATTGCAACTTAGACTTCATCTCTTTGTAATCTCCCCTTATTGTGTAAATGACCTTAATTTACTGGGGGAGGGTGGGGGTGAAGAGGAGGACTAGCTGTCACTCCTAAACCTTTCTCAGCATGTAAAGCATTAAGTGGCTGGAATAATATAGCCCTCTCCATTTTTTTTAATCTGTTTTGGGGGATTGGGAGGGGTCAAATAAAAAAACAGAAACATACCCAACAAAATTTTAAACTAATGGACAGGGCTACATTATTGCAGATACACATGGACTAAGAGATAGAAAACACGTTAATATTAATCATTTTTAAGATGGTTAGCTTAGTGATGATGAGCTTCATAATAAATAGTATAATTAACATTTCTCTCTAATAATCATATGTGCCTGAAGAAAGCCTTAAATATCATTCCTTTCCTAACAAGAATGGCTTTCTTGTCATCTACAAGAAAAATCAATACAGCCATAACTATATTGTCACAACATTCTTCAAGTCAAAAGATAGGTTCAGGTTAATTTTTCTACCTTATATAAGTGAAATGGCCGATTATATGACAATTAATTGGGAAAAATTCCTCAAAGATATTTAGAGTTACTCGATTTACAAATTCATGAAGATTTATCTTAAAATGCCTTTATCTATTTCATTTGTGTTTCAAGCTTTAAGTTAAAGATCTCCTTATTGATTTTGAATGACTGTTTTATGTTGAGATCCAAGTGTGATTTCATTATGAAATTTTTTCCCGTACATTATATGAACGACATAAAAACAAAACTATATCATATAGCAAAAACCTATTTTGGAATTTTCCATATAAAATTACATAAAGTTTTAACATGGATAGTTATAATTTTTACTGTTTTGTTTATATGAAATTCAGAAAAAGATAATTTTTTATCATAAGGTTTGCAATATTCATCATAATTATAGGGTTCATTAAATGATTTCATATGTGTAATTATGAAAAAAAATCTTTTCCTTTTTTACATACATAACTTTTGACATTGCCATTTTCTTTCATTATAAAAACTGAATCTGCTGCTGTAAAAATAATTATATATAAGAAATCTGTAGACCCACTGTAATTGCTAGATCTATCTCTCTTTCATCATAACTAGAGAGACAGATCTGAAGGAGCTACACGAAGTATTCAACTGTATACTGCTCCTTTATGAAATTCTGATAATATCATAACCATGACTACTAAAGAAGAAAAATCATATTTGAAATAATAATACTAATTAGTGAAAAAAAAATAATGATGATGAAAAAGAAAAAAAAAACATTAAAAGTTCAATCGAGAGGGCCTCCACCCACCCCAACCCCTTTTCCGGATCTTATTCCAGCACCCCCTCCCCACCCCATCCCCCTCTCCCCCCCCCCCCAAAAAAAAAAATGAGTGAAATAGGGGACCTACGCACAGAAGGATTTTTAAAAAAAAAAGGTAAACAAATCTATTATCCAACATCTTAACAAAATGAATGAAAGAGACTTTTTTTTCATAGTGAAGAACACGTGTGCCGATATTACCACCCTGTGTACAAGTGTTTGTTTATCAATGGTTGACAGTGAACTGATTTCTTACCCTAGTTGTGCAGTTCCGACATCGCTCGAAGTTGTACCTGTAACAAGCACGTGTCTGTAAATTCCACAGAATAATGCATAACTTAAGAAGAATGCTGAAGATCCAAAGATGCTTCATCTTAGCTTTGGCAACAGCATCATGGCGATCGCGAAGCTACAGTACAGCTAGATCTGTGTCACATTAGATTATATATAGGACACATACACCTGACACTCGATTGATCACTTCGGAACCGATCGGCGCTTAACTGTTAAAAGACTCGCTATCTAATGCTGCATTGTTGTTTTATACAAATGAGGTTTGTCAAATATTTGTTTCCTGTATTTCCCTTTGAATAAGATAATGCCATTTACATACACATATTTTACCTTTAAAACCTGATATAAAAAGTGTCGAATGTCTTCACTTATCATTTTGGGTAGTCCGTTTTAAATGCCTCAAAATATTTTCAAGTAACGCGTCCCCGTCTGTCATCTTTTCTAAGACACACAGACGCCCCCTTCTATAAATCTTGAATGTATACCCTATACACATGGTACATGCTATAGATCTTTATAAATACCCAGAGACATATAATTTAACATGTCTCTCACCGTACTATAAGTCTAGATGAAATATTTTTAGTATAGGGTACATATTAATGCATCATAATTTTAAACAATGGAAAGGTGCCCGTAAACATTTAGTGTCCAGATTAAATAAACGTTAGTTATTTTTTTTAATTTATTATATTTAATTATTTTTTATTTTATTTTATTGGGGGGGGGGGGATTTATGTTTATATGTTTATGCATACTTTAATGTGACCCAGCAGAATATAACTTTTATGTAAAACTAGATCAAGAATTATTAAAAAAAAAAAGGGGGGGTGTAAAGTGGTAGTGCTTGGTCTTTAACGAATTTTTTTTTTAATTTTACAGACTCTTCCTTGTAAGAACAAGATGTGTTTGTGAAACACTGATGCCCCCGTATGGCATCTTATGGCAAAGGTTAAAGTTTCTCAAATGCAAGTCAAAATCCAGGCCAAAAGATAAAAAAAAATGTTGGTACCCAAAGAAAGGTCTTGTCTCGTGGAATATACCTGTGAAATTTGAAAGACCTAGCTGCAGCTGTTCAAAAGTTAGGGCGAAGGTTAAAGTTTTTAAAGTTAAAAGTAAAACGTCAAGGTCAAAGTGGTTGGTATCCAAAGGAAGGTTATGTCACAAGGATTACATACGTGAAGTATGAAATCCCTAGCATCAACCATTCAAAAGTTATGGCCAAGGTTAAAGTTTTTCAAAAGTAGGTCAAACTCTTAGGTCAAGGTCAAAAGGTCAAAGTGGTTGGTATCCAAAAAAAGGTCTTGTCACAAGGATTACATATGTGAAGTATGAAAGCCCTAGCTCCAATCATTCAAAAGTTATGGCCAAGGTTAAAGTTTTTCAAAAGTAGGTCAAACTCCTATGTGAAGGTCAAAGGCTCAAAGTGGTTGGTATCCAAACTAAAGTTATGTCACAAGGATTGCATACGTGAAGTATGAAATCCCTAGCATCAACCATTCAAAAGTTATGGCCAAGGTTAAAGTTTTTCAAAAGTAGGTCAAACTCCTAGGTCAAGGTCAAAGTGGTTGGTATCCAAAAAAAAGGTCTTGTCACAAGGATTATATATATATTTAGATATATCGACGACGTATTGTCAATTAACAATGGCTATTTTCATTCTTATGTCGATACGATATATCCTGGTGAACTTGAGATAAAAGATACCACAGAGTCTGACACATCTGTTTCATATTTCGATATTTTACTTGAAAAAGACGTTAATGGTAATCTAACAACCAAGCTTTATGATAAACGTGATGACTTTAACTTTTCAATCGTCAACTTCCCTTACTTATGCAGCAATATACCTTCATCACCTGCATACGGGGTATATATCTCTCAGTTGATTCGATACGCAAGAGCATGCTCTATGTATGTACAATTTCTAAAACGAGGTAAATTATTGACAAATAAGTTGATGAAACAAGAATATCAGCTGTCTCGTTTAAAGTCATCATTTCGTAAGTTCTATGGTCGATACAATGACCTTGTCAGCAAATACAATTTATCATTGAGTCAAATGCTGACTGACGTTTTTCATACTAATTGTTAGGCCATTATTTACACACTGAATTGTCGACGGATTTTTCCGTTATTTCCCGATCATGACAAGGAGCACACGGCGGGTGTGACCGGTCGGCAGGGGATGCTCACTCCTCCATGGCACCTGATCACACCTCTAATGTTTGGAGGTCCGTGTTTGCTCTGCTCCTATTTTGTATTGTATAATGGACTTCTGAGCTTGAATACTGTTCGTTATCTCCATATATTTCATGAAGTATGAAAGCCCTAGCTCCAACCATTCAAAAGTTATGGCCAAGGTTAAAGTTTTTCAAAAGAAGGTCAAACTCCAAGGTCAAGGTCAAAAGGTGAAAGTTGTTGGTATCCAAAGGAAGGCCTTGTCACAAAAAATATACATGTGAAGTTTGAAACCCCAAGCACCAACTGTTCAGAAGTTATGGCCAAGGTTAAAGTCTCATAAAATTTTGCAAAAGTGGGTCAAACTCCAAGGTTAAGGTCAAAAGGTCAAATATGATGGTACCCAAAGAAAGGTCTTGTCACAAGGAATACATATATGAAATTTGAAAGTCATAGCTCCAACCAATCAAAAGTTATGGACAAGGTTAAAGTTGACAACAGACAAACAGACAGACAGGACAAAAACAATATACCCCCGGGATCTTTCGATCCGGGGGCATAAAAAAAGTCTACCTCCACTACCCTACAGGTGGATATGTCCTCCAACGGCATATTTTAAAAAAAAAAAGGGGGGGGGGAATAGATATTAACTGACTAACAGAAGAAGTACATGTACTTTTAAAACAAGATGTGTTTGTGAAACACTGATGCCCCAGTATGTCAACTTATAGCGAAGGTTATACTTTCTCAAATGCAAATCAAATATGTTGGTACCAAAAGTAAGGTCTTGTCCAAAGAAATATACCTTTGAAATATAAAATTCCTGGCAGCAACCATTGAAAAGACATGGAAAAGGTTAAAGCTTTTCAAAAGTAAGTCGAACATCAAGGTCAAGGTCAAATGATCAAAATTACATGTAATGGTGCCCAAGGAAAGGCCTTCTCACAAGAAATACACATGTGAAATATGAAGGCCCTAGCACCAAACGTTCAAAAGATATGGTCAAGGTTAAAGTTTTTCATAAGTAGGTCAAACTCCAAGGTCAAAGGATGAAAGTTGTAGGTATGCAAAGAAAGGTCTTGTCACAAGGATTACATATGTAAAGTATGAAAGCCCTAGCACCAACTGCTCAAAAGTAATGGCCAAGGTTAAAACCAACTGCTCAAAAGTAATGGCCAAGGTTAAAGTTTTCCAAAAGTAGGTCAAACTTCAAATTAAAGTCAAGGTCAATGGGCTTTAATTGTTGGTATCTAAAGGAAGGTCTTGTCACAAGTAATACACAGAAAAAAAATGAAAGCCCTATCACCAACTGTTCAAATGTTATGGCCAAGGTTAAAGTTTTTCAAATGCAGGTCAAACTCCTAGGTCAAGGTCAAAGGGTCAAAGTTGTTGGTATCTAAAGGAAAGTCTTATCACAAGGATTACATATGTAAAGTATGAAAGTCTTAGCTTCAACTGTTCAAAAGTTGTCACCAAGGTTAAAGTTGAGTAAAATTTTGTAAAACTGGGTCAAACTTCAAGGTCAAAAGGTCAAATGTGATGGTACCCAAAGAAAGGTCTTGTTACAAGGAATACACATGAGAAATGTGAAAGCTACAGCTCCAACCAATCAAAAGTTATGAGCAATGTTAAATTTTTTGCGGACGAACAGGCAGACAGACGGACGGACAGGGCAAAAGCTATATACCCCGAATCTTCGATACGGGGGCATAAAAATCGCAGACAAACGGGAAAGAATAGCACTTCGTTTTGTCGGGGTAAAGCAGTTTTTTATTTCTTTCGGAAAAGCAGGGTGTCGGTCGCGGTCGCGGAATAGCGCATTTTGTAAATGACAGTAGCACATATCCGTGTCGCTTCGTTTGCCATAGTTCTCTTATACTTGTATACCTGTCAACAAAACCATTGATGTTTCATGGCAGATAAGCATATAGATAAGGTGCCCAAACTTCGAACTTTGAAACTATATAGTGACGTGTACGTAAATTATCAGATCTCCTAAACATCAATGTAAGGAATGTGTCCAGTATAATTAATAATATTGTAATATTGGGGTATGTTTCAAAAGGTGTTACAATTTTATTGTTATATTCTCCAAGAAGAGTTAGACAAAAATTAACGTTAATTTGATTTTTATAAAACTTGATAAAAAAAGACACACACACACACACTAATCTGGAAATTTCAGATCTTCGGAAATTGGCCACTATTTATTTATAAATATTTTGCAATTTAAAAAAAAATAACAAGGTACCAAAATGCTTGATTTCAGTGATTTTAATGACATGCGGAAGCTAAGTCGCACGTACGAGATACTACATCCTCACAATGTCAGGGGTACTGAGTCAACACGTTGCCGGTGGACCACTGACACATTTCATTCGATATCTTGCGGGCTGACTGCAGCGACGTCTTTCGGGAAAATTACAAATCTTAATTGTTTTTCTTATCTCTCAACCAATAACATTAAGCCTTTCAGTGTCATAAACACGTGTATTTTAGGTGTCAACTATTCCTTCTTTCTGTTTACATTATCTGCATGTCTACCTTAATTTGATTTGTGCTTCTCAATAAGCGAAGCAAGCCCGAAGTTGTTAGGGGTCCAACGGCAACAGGTTGACTCAGGACCCCTGACGCTGTGAGGAAGGAGATACTAAGTCGTACGAACGACACAATAACTGAAGTCATGTTACGAGATTATAAGTCGTACAAACGAATTCGTACGTACGACATATTTTAAGTCATAATAATGAGAAACTGTCAATGAGATAAGTCGTAAAACGACATAATAAGTCGAATTCAATTCTCGTTCCCGGAGCCGCGTCAAACCCAAGACGTAATGTAGGTATTGACTGTTCCTTCGGCAAGCGCCCTGCACTAGAAGTAGAAGTCACGGGTCTTTCGGTTGAAACCTTAAAAACCGAGGTCCTATACGCG